ATATTTTATAGTAAAACACAGAAATGTTAAAATCCTTGTAGTACCATATTAAACTATATTTAAAAATAAAATTTTCATTCTTGTTAAATTATAAGACATGATTTAAAATAAAGAAAATTATATGGATAAAAATAGAATAAAATATTTTAATATTTTAACACAATAGAGGTACCTAGACACCTAGTGCAGTACTGAATGCATATTCGTAAAAACACTGCTAAGTAACGTGTCCCAACTTCTATGCTGCAGTATTAGTCTGCCGATAATCGACTAATAATTAATTGATATTACCTACTGAATTTATTTTACGTTTAAATCCTACCACTTACATAATATTCATATATTTAAACGACTATAAACATTGATCAATATAACTATATTATTATATTAAAGATCGTAAGTATGTGCATAATATAATATCATTAGGTTGTTATCAATTATTATATACGTACGTATGTGGTATGTACGATCATAATGATTTCTGGTAAGTGATTAGATATAGATACTGAGTCTACGTCTTGGTCCTACCTACTTTCACTTTCGAAGTATTTGTATAATTAATTTTCAATTAACATAAATGCATAATATTCTACAACTGTTGTAGTTCTTATATAGACATATATATATAATAGCACCTACCTATGTAGTGTCAACTATAGAGTATAGTAATAGCAAGCATTACAACAAACAACTAAAATCTGATATAAATACTAAGCCGTCTAAGCCACTAAGGTATCTACTTATTACCTACCCATTATTATTTATTTAAGTTATACCAACATTTAATATTGAAATTAAGAATTAAACATTTCTCTCTGACCCATGCGCAACAARGCACATTTTTCGTTCACAATAATGATTATCATCATAATAATATCTTAAATTAAAGTGAAATAACTTTTTATAAAATTTAAAGGTAAATCTAAAGGATACCTACAGTATATGCGGGTGTAGTGTCCTTTTAAACCTAAAATGTAAAATTAATATTTATAATTAATGATAGACGATAGTAGCCTTTATAATATAATGTGTAGATAATAGGTATGTATAGAGCGTATAGACAACACATGTGTACCTATCATTCATAGATAATTAAATAYACCTATGGGTATTGGGTACACTATACAAACTTTTTAACTTATATATCTTAATAAATAAACAAAAGTATGTAAATTTATTTTTTTAAATATTAGAAATTGTGTCTAGTAGCATTGTTATGATGGTAATGAAAATATATCTTTTATATTATGAGCTGAGCGATACATGCATTGTTACAATACAGTTTTTTTTCAGTTGTTTTTGCATCTATATATTAATTTTATACGTTTTTTTAATTTTGAAGATAGCTTCAGATATCTAGACAATTATATCTAAGTTGAACTTTTTTGAGATAAAGATAATATACAAGTTTTCCGAATTATTTAAATAATCGAGAAAATTATTTTTTTTAGTCAAAGCCGGTTTCAAAACCTATTTGATTTGTTTTGAGTCTCAAAAGCTTATAACCGTAGATAGTTCAAATGTTCAACAATTGTCTATTWTATATTTTTGTAATAAAATATGTTGGCTCATTTTGAGCTATTTATTCGAAATTTTCAATATTTTTTTTCTATCCCTAAATATCGATAAAAGTATTATCATTTAGCCAAAAAGCTTGAAAATTTAACACAAAGTTAAATTTTTATAGCTAAGAATTGAAAATTTAGAACAAGATTTCTTACCTAACCGAAAAATATACAGACACAGTTTCAATTTCAAATTCATACGTTTTGTTATTTAGGTAAATGGATTTAGAATACCTTATTTATTATTATTATTATTTTACTAAGTATATAGTTGAGTTTAAAAAACACAGAAGTTTATGGCATTATGAGAGGGAGAGGAGGGGCAAAGCTTTCAAAAATCATTCTTGGTAATTCAGTACATTTTTTGGAAACTAACCTATTTTTTGTTGAGCATAATAYAGCTAGTGGCTCAGCTTGGAGTTCGGGTAGTTGGACCTGTTCAGCACTTCCGAATCTATTAAAACCGTTCAGGGACAGTAAGAGTACATCCTTCGCTGTCCCCGACTCCCCGTGGCACGCCTATGCCTTACAGATA